CCTCTGCTTCTGATCTAGCTTCCTGTTAATGCACACCCTGGGAGGCAACCAATGAAAGCTCACTCAGGACGCTGTCACCCGTGGAGAAGCTGGGTCTGAGTTCTAGGATTCTGGCTTTGCCCTGACCCAGTCCTAGCTATTGCAGGCATTTGCAGGTATACTGCAGTTAACGGAAGATCTTCTGTCTGTCTGCCTCTGTCTTCCCGTCTTTCAGATAAAGTGAAAAGAAATAAATAAAATCACAAATTAGATAAAGATGACTATCGCTACTCCTTAACACTGTTCTGAATATTCAAGCTTTTGCATCAATATAAAAGAGGAATAATTATTGGAAAGAACTGCATACAATTTTTAGAACATTATGTACCTCAGTATGTATTGAAAAAAATCCAGGTAAATAAAATGGAAGTATTTTAGGTTAATGAAGTATAGTAAATTCATTATTTAATAGATAACTATAGGGGCCGGTGCTATGGTATGGCAAGTTGAGTCACTGCCTGCAATGCCAGCATCCCACATGGGCACCGGGTTAAGTCCTAGCTGCTCCACTTCAAATCTAGCTCCCTGCTAATGTGCCTAGGAAAGCCGTGGAAGATGGCCCAGATGTCTGGAGCCCTGCCAACCATGTGGGAGACCTGGATGAGCTGTTGTGGCCATTTGGAAAATGAACCAACAAATGGAAGATCTCTCTCTCTCTCTCTCTCGCTCTCTGTAACTCTGCCTCTCAAATTAATCAATCTCTTTTTAAATAAAAGATAACTATATAAAAAATGTAAGCCTTTACTATACAATGGCCAGTTAGCAGACACAATTGAAAAATAAGTTCCATTAAGAACCACAAAACTCCTTAGATATACTCCTAAAATGAGGTATCTAAAACCCCATGCAGGTAAAGAGCCGACATCAGGGAACATGGTGAGGGGGTTTGAGTAAGCATAGAGTAAGCAAAATAAGTGTTATATGCCTGAACGAGAACAATGAATTTTATAAAGGTGTCTGCTTTCTCCAAATAACTGGGTATAACAGTGAAAAATCCCATTGGAAGTTGCTCTGGGAAGTTGACAAAATAATCCTACAGCTCAAATGAAAAAAGAAACTGGTGAGAAAATAATCAAATTAGTTTTATATCAGAACATATTTAAACATAAATTCTCTAGATTATTAAAGTAACCCAAATGTAAACAAAAAAAAAAAAAAAAAAAGAGGGGGCAGGTGTTTGGTGCAGCAGTTAAGCTACTGCGTGACACTGGAGTTCCTGGGTTCAAGTCCCAGCCCTGCTCCTGATGACAGCACACTATGACAAGGGATAGGCTTCCTGCCACCCACGTGGGAGACCTGGATTGAGTTCCTGGCTCCAGACCTTGGCCTGGCTCAGGCTGATGTGGGCATCTAAGGAATGAACCAGTGCAGAGGGAGGCACGCTCTCTCTCTCTCTCTAATAAGATAAATAAAAAATTTTTTAAATTAGAAGAAAATATAGTAATTAGATTTCCTCTAAAGAGGAGCGTCCAAGTGCAACATCTATGTGAAGGTTAAAAAAAGTGTGTGTGTGTGCGTCCTCTTAAAAAAATAACAACATCTCCATGTCAAAAGATGACAAACAAAATGAAAGGCAAATGACAAACCAAGAAAAGAAAATTACAAGAAACACAGTAGACACAAATGAACATCCTTAAGCTATAGAATATTTTTGGTCAATAAGAAAAATACTGATACTCTCATAATTTAACAATGCACACAGACAATTCTCTGTAAGATGACAATTGATCAGTAAACATGAAAAAATGCTCAATATCATTACTAAAAAGGAAGTGTGAATTAAAACTTCAGAAAAGTACCTTTTTTCCTCTTATATGCAAAGATAACATTCAACATTAACAGGTGGCATCAAGAGAGACTGGAACTTATTCAGAGTGCAAGACTCCATTAGTGGGGCCTGCGCTGTGGCGTGGTGGGTAAGCTGTCACCTGTAGTGCTGGCATCCCATATGGGTTGGGCCATCTTCTATTGCTTTCTGAGACCATAGCAGAGAGCTGGATTGGAAGTGGAACAGCCAGGGCTCGAACCGATGCCCATATGGGATGCCACTGCAGGCAGTGGCTTTACCCTCTTTGCCACAGCGCTGGCTCCACTGAAAAAAAGATTTCTGAAACCTAAAGTCTTTTAAAAAGCAATGCATCCAACAATTTCGCTAGCCACTTTGTCTCACTGTGCTGAAAAGCACACTGCTACAGCTACTGTGTGGTGAAGCTGCACGAAGTCACAGGCACGCACTCAATCACTGTCACAGGTCAGTTTATTAAGGAAACTGTGAAGCCGTACGTTAACGTACTCACTTGATCACTTTTCACTACAGCAAATGATACTCCAAAGGCCACGGCTGTGGATTTACACAATGACATTCCCATATTTTGTTCAGAAATACAAAAATAAAGTGTTCAATGAAACCTGAAAACTGCCGGCTTTGGTTTTTGTTTTTGTTTTTTTTTTCCCCCCAAAGATAGTGCCTAAAGTCAGGAAGTACAGTGGCATTGAGGAAGACGAAAATGGAGCATTTGAAAAGCAAGCACTTGTGCTAGCTTTCATTTTCAAAGTTCCAAATCTTTCATTTTTTTTTTTTACTTTTTGCACCAAAGAAGGACTCAATACTTTTCATTCCACTCTTGTCAACTTTAGCCAAAGCCTTCTGAGCTGCGGTCATTTTGCTATTTTTCTGTTAATGAAAATAAGAGAAGAAAATATCGTTACAAATGTAAGCATTTATAAATCATACTTGCAAACCAAACAAGACTGGGCGAGTCTGGCGGTTCACTGAGGGAGGTAAGCGACCAGCTTCTACCAAGCTGCATCGGGAGAAAAACAGCTCTGATTTCTATTCAGAATACAGACCTAGGAGACAGAATGTGTTAAGACCAAACTGCCGCCTTCCAAGGAGTGCAATGTCACACCCAATGGTCTGCTCGCAGGCCGCTAATTCTGGAGGGTGCATTAAGTGCAATAACACAGACAATGGAACTGCCGCAGGCAGCAATTGTCACAGGGAGGAATTACAGCCTTGTACTACCACTTGATGAATAATTCACACCAATTTACCATCTCATTTTATTCATTCGCTCTATGGGAAATCAAGGACAACTCTATTATATTCAGAAGATGCTCTGTTCTGCAAAGCATCATGGGCCAGCAGGATGGCTGTACTATTTTTCTTTCAACAAAGAAATATTTTCCAAAAAGCTAAGTCCAAATAACTCTGCAGTTTTTCTTCCTGGTTGCTGCATTTTTTTTTTACATCTTATCAAAAGGTAAAAGAGGTAAAGAGGATGGTACAATAGCAGCTGATTTTACTTTGAGATCTCACAACTTGTTCCCAAGAAACACAAATCATGGGAATCAGCAAAGAAGAAAAAAAAAAATCACCTGTCTCCCCAGGAGCTACCAAAGAGAGGTTTATGCAAAGCATCTTTTAAGGGCTGGGTCCATGGTTCCTGGAATCTTGCCTCTCATGCTGTCGCTGTCACCGACATGCTATTAGGCTTCTCTTCTCTCACTGGTGTTGTGCCCAAGGAGATGCAAAGGGAGGGAGCGTTGCCATGAAGGGGGCCAGGAAGATCTCTCTCAGAGAAATTCAAAATGTCTCTGTTTCCAGAGCACTGAGAGAACCAGCCAGTCAGACAAACCTTAACTCGGATTATCGTCTGATGTCACATGCCCAATAGATTACACATAGGTTGGAGGGCAATATTTTTAAAATACATTATGTTCTACAGGGAGTAAGTAGTGTTAAAGTCTAGGTGGAAGTTAAACTTTCTTGGGATGAGCAAGGCCTTGATAAGCATTAAAAACAAAAAAACAGGGAAAGCACAAAGAAAAAGAATCTCTGAAAAATTTAAAGCTGTCAGAAAAATCAAAAGGAAAGGCCAAAAACATACTGCAAAATTATTTATACCCTGTATATATCACGAAGTGCTGCTAGCCTTAATTTAGAATGGTCTTTATGAATCGACAGGAAAAATGGTATTTCAACATAAAAACAGGCAAGGGACATGAACTGAGAGTTTGCAAAAATGGAAAAGAGCAATAAGCATTAGAAAAGTTGAAAGAAAAACTAATTTTCCAGTTAAATACAATTTTGACAGGCTATAATTGAATGAGTAAAAGCAATAATCAATGTTATTAAGAATGCATGACAATACCCATTGGTAACGATGTTTGGGGACACAAATTTTAAGTACCTTTTTGGAAAGCCCTTTAGCTATATGTATTTCAATCTTATGAAACAGTTCATTCTCTAAATTCTCTTTTTAGTTCTAAATTGTGTCTAATGGAATAATCAAAGATGCAGACCACAAGAATGGTTATAATGTCATTAAAACAAATAAAAAAATCAGAAGAATCCTTTATGTCCAAAATAATGTGATAATTAATAATACGTGATTATATAATATTCCATATGATGAAATAAAATAACACACATGACTGAGGAATATTATGACATGTGGACACTGCCCAACATAAAGCTAAGTGAAGAGGGCAGAACCAAAAGCTATATAGATACTATGATGTCAATTTTAAAAGTTCCATGTGTTCATATTACATAAATAAGATAAATTTGGTAAGAAATATTATAAGAATATTTGCTGGCATGATTACTAAATGGTAGAATTATTATTTTTTTATTTTCATACTTCTCAGGAAGATTCTGGGCAGTAGGATTAACAAAATATTACTCATAGAAACTCCTCCCATCCTGCCTCTCTATTATACCTAGCAAAGTTTGAGCCCAGTTTGCTAAGTGTATTGATTGCCTTTGATTCATGAAAAGTCTTAACTACTCAACATCTTCATTGTCATGCACAAGTATGAACTAACTCATAAAAAGGTCAGTGAGTACCTCTTCATGGTCAAAACTGCAATCACACAACCAAGTGCACACTGTTGCCGGACAGTCATGTAGCACCACCCACCGAGTCTGCAGGATGCCTGCACCTGGACACACATACCTTTTCAGTCTTCGGATCTTTAGTGTTAAACTTAGTGTAATCTTCTTTTGCTTCTACAGGCTCATCTGATAACTTTATTTTCTGCAATGTTAGAGCAGTGAAGTGCTGTCAAATGTTACCATGACACATCAATGCATTCACAAAAAATGTGTAATTTAGCCCCACACAGAGGCTGCGTGAAGCGCAGATCTGCACTGGGATGACTTTCTGCCAGTGTACTTTTATGCTTCACAGGTTGTGTGGGGAAGGAAGCCACATGGCACTTCTGAGAAGCAGCCTCCATGGTGGGCTGTGGCTGGGCTGGCACACGACCCGGCCCCTCAGCTCATCCAGCGACACTCGCAGAACCACAGGTTTTCTATCAAGGATGGCAAGCATCCAGGTGACTGCTGACTTCAAGGCCAATCCACGGGTAAATACAAGACCACTGAAGCCAAAGAATTCCCTCTAAGGTGGGGCAGGTGTTCAGCTGGAACCCCTAGCTTCATTTATCTCCTAAGCTGGTTTACATCCACTTATGAAGAGATGGACAGCATTATTCTATCATTGCCATCTTTGTATAGCTTCATGTTCTTACCTCCTTTTAATTCATGATTTTATTTCACCCACAAGAGAGTAACCTTGCACAGTGAGCAGTCAGGAGAGGGAGGCACAGAGCATAGCTTAGTCACCAGAGAGGCTGTGGGGTGTGACTGTTATTTTTATACAAGCTCTCTTTCTGGTGGGCCCAATGCAGCTACGTCAAACCATCATGGCATACTTTCACCTTTCCTCTGAGCACTCTGAACCAATGAATGTGAGAATCTTGTCAAGAGCTAACTGTGGGGCTGGCGCTGTGGCACAGTGGGTTAATCCTCCACTTGCAGTGCTGGAATTCCATATGGGTACCGGTTCTAGTCCCAGCTGCTCCTCTTTTAATCCAGCTCTCTGCTATGGCCTGGGAGAGTAGTGGAAGATAGCCCAGGTGCTTGGGCCCCTGCACCTGCATGGGAGACCCAGAGTAAGGTCCTGGCTCTTGGCTTCAGATCTGCTCAGCTCCGGCTGTTGTGGCCATTTGGAGAGTGAGCCAGTGGATGAAGACCTTTCTCTCTGTCTCTCCTTCTCACTGTCTGTAGTTCTACTCTTAATTAAATAATACAGAATTATCATGCCATACCTAATCAGTAATAAGTACAACATCCGGGCCACTAGGTCTTGCTGGTTAAAACAAAGAACTGGCTGTACAGTGAGCACAAGCAGTATTTTATAGATCTTCAAGGTCTTTGTGGAAATGATGGGTTGGCAAGACCCAAACCTGGGAAACACATTTTCATTCCCAGCTTCACTTATCATGCCCTCCCTTCTGCTACACAAAGACCCAGTGGAGTTGGTGAGAGGCCGCCACCCACATAGCACAAGGGGATAAAAATACATGTCTTGAACTTCTTTGCTCCAGAAAACAGAGAGGCATCCTGGGCATATATCACATAATGTGGGAAAACATCCTTATGGCCAGATAGCAACACCCAGGACACGAATTGTCAAAAGAAAAAAGACTAGTTCATCAAACACAAACTCCCTACCAGCATAAAGTGTATGTATACATACAACTTTCTTAACTTACTTATTTCCACTAAGACAGCAAAGAGTGTATGGGGATGTGCATTTTTATTAGAAAGGTATTTTCATCCAGGAGAGTAGAACTCTTAGCCCACATCCCATGTCCGAGTTCCTGGGTTTGCATCCCTGCTCTGCTTCTGATCCAGCTTCTTGCTAATGCACACCCTGGAGGCAGCAGTTGATGGTGCAAGTACCTGGGTCCCTGCCAGCCACATGAGAGAGCTGGATGGAATTCTGGGTTTCTGGCTTTGGCCTGGCTTAGCCCTGATGGCTCAGCAGGCATCTGGGGAATCAATCAGTAGATGGGAGATCTGCCTCTGTCTATCTCTCTCTGTCTCTCTGCCTTTCAAACAAGTAAACAAAACATAAAAAAAAAAAAAAAAAAGATGAAAGGTACTCGCAAATGAATACAGAACATCTGCTAAGAGGACTGACTTGTTCAGGTGTCTTAATCGCTCACAACCAAACCAGACATCAGTTATAAGTGCTCATAGAAAACAAAAGACAACGGCTGTGGTGGATTCCGCACCTAACTTGTTTTTACGCATTCCCAGCACACTGTTGAACGCACTCACAAATATCAGGACTGGAGCACTGACTGAAACGTGCGTTTGTTTAAAAGACCACATCCTATGGGTGTGGGGAATGTTTCTGCAGAGAAAGATAAGTGGTTCAGAAAGACAGTGCCGGTGGTTCTGAGTGCACGGGTCCTGTTCTGGAAGGAGGAGAAGAGACAGCAGCGCACCACAGGGATTAACGCTGGGCCTGCTCTTCTTGTTATAAATGACCTGCAAGCAGGAACTTGGGAACACCTCCAGTCCCCTGGTTGTGCTTAGCTCTGCTGGCTGACCGTGCCAAATACGAAAGACGCAAGGGATGAGGGTTGAAAACTGAGCTTCAACAAAGACAGACACATGATAGTAGTTTAAAAAAATGCAATACACGGTAGGGATGACAGGCTCCATGCTATCAGCCACAATCCAGCTACAGAGGGACTTAACGGCTGCAGGGATGTATTTGATTTCTTTAACACAACAAGCGCACAACTGCAAAAATCCATCAAATCCTGGGCACACCCAGGAGAGCGTGCAGAAGACATGCCCTATGCTTGTTGAAACTGCAGTACATGATACAGTACACCCGGTAATGGACACACCAGAACCCCAGGAAGACACACCCCAGGGGATGACTGTCAAGGAGTGGGGAAAACAAGGCAGCAGATGAGGCCGAGACTCAGGAGGACCTGGCTCAGATCTAAATCTGAGCTTGGCAACTGCGGCTCACGGGTCAAATCCAGCTGGCTGCTTGTCTTTATAAGTGAAGTTTTGCTGGAGCCTGGCTACGCTGACTCCTGTATGTATCGCCTGTGGCTGCTTCTGCACACAGCAGAGCTGAGTGTCTGCTGGCTTCAGGAAGTTTCAAATATTTACTACCTGGGCTTTGTCGAAAAAGTTTGCTGACCCTTGAGCTAAATCATCAGTGACAAAATCACACATGACTTACATTCTGGAAATAAAATGAGAAAACTGGGGTAGATAATAAGCTTAGAAGTGCATCACTCCAGAAGGTACCCAAGGCTTTATGAAGCCTTCAAGAAGAGCTTTAGACCAATTTGTGAATGATCTGCAAGCTACCAAGGAAGACCGATGTACGGGAGAAAGAAATGTGCTTAATTTGCAGAGAGAGAGAAGTAAGAAAAGCCATTCCACAGTGCCTACCCTCTTAGGTACAGCAAGACTACTCTGCCTCTCTCTGTCCCCTGGAAGTACTAGCCGTGATTAACTGCTGGATAGGAAGAAGCGTGCGTCTGGCCTGGAATGGCCTTTCTTGGATCTCATAGCAACTGACTCAGGAGCTCAGAGCTGTTCCTCAGGGCAGTAAACACTGAACGTGTCCCTTCCTCCACCACTAACAATGATGCCCTTTTCATCTTCAGTCCTTTCTGAAAAGCAAAGTCATGGACATTCTGGAGCCACCCCGACCTCCAAATAGGACATGAGATGAAAAATCCTGAACCTGCTGGCCACCTTGAAGGCCAAGGAATGAATGGAGGGGCTGCAAAACTGTTTAATATCCTCGAATGTGGCAGGTGCTCAGGGCCTCTCCCTGATAAGCTGGGAGCTGTCCATCTGTGTGTGTCCCTGTCCATCTGATGTGGGCTGGCCTGAGGGACGCCACAGTCTGCAGCCAAGTGTGGGTATGAGTGGCTTCTCTGCTCCCCAGGTCTGGGAGACAAACACGAGCTGCAGAGGAACGGTGGGTAGCAGTCTGAGAGTCTCTGGGGGAGACATGGGATTTCCCCTAACAGATAAAAGTTACAGATTAATTTGTTCATCACTGGGGCAGGTGGTTAGCCTAGTGGTTAGGACACGTGTGTCCCGTATCACAGTATCTGAGTTCAGTCTCTGGCTCTAGCTCCTGACTCCAGCTTCCTATGGCTTCGGTGATGACTCACGTAACTGGGTTCCTGCCGCCTACGTGGGAGACCTGGAGAAGGCACTGATCCAGTCTAACCACAGCCATTTCAGGCACTTGGGGAATGAACCAGCAAATGGGAGCTTGATCTCTCTCTCTCTCTCTGTCTGTGTGTCTGTCTCTCTGCCTCTCAAATACATAAAATAATAAATATATAAACTAATAAGACAAATTCTGATATCATTTCAAATTCAGGGAAAAAAAAAGGTCATCCTTGCTCAAAGGACTCTGTGTCACAAAAATCTTGTTCCTTGCATCCTTGTCCCAGTGGCAGCTAGATTTGGCAAAATGAGTTTTAGTTACACACAGAGTATTTCTAGAAATTAATAAAGTTGATTGATCCAGCTAACTATAGATGATTTCATTTTAACCATGTATCTGCAACATTTTCATAGAGGTGTCTTGCTAAAACCAACTTGGTTTTCACAGCACTTTATTTACCATTCAGGTAAAATTCCACAGGGGGAAAAAAAAAAAAAAAAACTAGGGATGGAGAGCCCAGTATAATCTATATTCCACACAGCATCACTCCATGCGAGATGGATTTAGTGAAGGACCCCAAAAGTGGTGCCCTTTTGTGACGACCCCAGAAACAGACTCCAGACCAGGCGATGCAAAAAGCAAGAGGCAGTTTTATTTCATTTGCGCAAATGGGCCCTCTGCTGCCACAAGCAGTGAGAAAGAGAGGAGCCCCGAGCCCCGATTACACGCAGTATTTAAAGCGAAAAGCCACACAATTATCATAGATTAACATTCTACTTGGTGTAAATAGCTCATTGGATAATTCTCAGCAATTGACCTAATATGGCAGTTTGGGAGCGGGTAGGGAAGTATTGTCAGTGGAAAAGTACTAGGTCGAAAAGGTATGTGGGGGGGGGGTCGTTGAGGAAGAGAAATGGGTGGCTACGTGCCTGATGTCCTTGCGGTTTCTTTGTTAAGCTTGAGCAAGCACAGGGGAGGGGGCTTATGTACATAACAGGATGTTCTGTCGCCCGTATCTCTGAGTAGTATCTAACTGCTTTCTCTGTGAACCAGTTTACTCCCCCATTTCCCATGACTGTTTCTGGAACTGTTTGTCTCAGTTCCTGTTTTTCTATTTTATCAAGGCCACTTTTATCCCTTCATTCCCCCGTTTTCTCCTTGAGCTAATTTTAATCCTAAAATTGTGTACCTGTTACTGTTAAAGCTGTTGGTGAGGGGTTTCAATACGGTCACTGGTGGCCAGGGCTTGGTACTGCTGCGTGAGGACTAATGCCTGCACGGTGGACAGCCTGTCCCTAACAAACTAGAGTAATCGGTTTATAATGCATGGCCCGAAGGTCAGAATTAGGATTAAGATAATAAGGGGGCCCACTATGGTGGAGAGCAAGGTTGACAACCAGGGAGACCTGTTATACCATCCCTCAAACCAGTCTGTTCCCTTTCTCGTCGTCTCTTTTCCAGCCGCTCTCTTAGTTTGGCTAAAGAATCTTTTACTACCCGGAGTGGTCTATATAGAAGCAGCATTCTTCTTTGAGAGCAGCACATAACCCTCCTTCTTTTAGAAACAACAGGTCCAAGCCCCTGCGATTTTGGATTACTACCTCTGAGAGGGAGGTGAGGGACTCTTGTAGTCGTTGGAGGTTCTGTTCTATCTCCATGATGTCCGCGTCCACCGCCTGTTGAAGGATCGCTAGTCTGCTGTTTCCTTGGGTTAAGGCGGCCGTCCCTGTGCCCAGCCCAGTGGCCGCTACCCCAAAGCTCAGTAGCACTGCTAGGGCCACGGAGGCCGGTTCCCTACGGAACCTGGTTATAGTGCTGTCGTACCGCTCCTCGAGTGTGTTTTCTGGGTGGTAAATTACCTTCGGGACGAGTGCCACCAGGACACAGAAATCCCCCGTCCCGTTGAGAACAGTGGTGGACACACAGGGAGCGAGGCCGCGAGAGCATGCCCACCAGGTTCCGGGGGGGGTGGCACCAGGTACAAGTTCTGGTCCACCAGGGAGGAGTTGGCAGTGGTGTTGCAGAGGCACCGGTAGGCCGAGGGTGGGTCCCCGACACAGGATCTCCTCCCTGAGACCTCGGCCAAAGTTATCAGGGGTTTAACGGCAGGGCACTGCCGGTGGGACAAGGAGGTATTGAAGGTTCCAACGACAGCTACTCCCTCATAGTAGGGCGGGCTTGCGGACAAGCATAACCAGCAGGGGTTGGTCAGGTTAGGGTGAGACAGATTCAATGCCGAAAAGGCGCCTCGTATTAGCAACATCGCTCTCTCCCCTGCAGGTAGGCTTGCGAGGGGAACCGGTGAGCCTGTCCTCATAGAGGTCGGCGCCGGTGAACCTGTTCCCTTAGAAGTCAGCTGCTTGGTCATCTCAGGCCGGGGAGGTCGGTAGGCAGGGGCCAGAGCCCTGTTGGGCCCTACCGGTAGCGGGTCGGGAGAGGTGATTCTTAGTCTAATTTTGAACCAAAACCCAAAATCTGTACCAGAAACATAATAGCGCAAACCCCAGATTCTCCCTTTTATCCAACTGGACAGTGTTGCGTATTGCTTTCCTGAGGTGGTAAAGGTAATATTAAGGGGATTGCACGTAGGGGAGCTTGCACATGGGGAAGTGGACCCCCAACTCCCTGGGAGGAGGAGTGAACACTGACCTGGGTCCTCAGGAGTGAAGTTATGCTGTACAGTAATCCAATCCCAAACAGAGGAAGGCCCCCAGTGTGCCACCCCCGTAGTTTCGCACCCCCAAGCCTTACAATATAGGGACTCCGGCCCTCCGCACCGGAAGATCTGATCCTGTCTTCTACCATCCTTGGGGCACACATAGAATTCAAGTTGACGTAGTCGGCATCTCCGAACTCGATATCTACATCCCGCCCCCATGGTGGTGGTGCTTCCTGGGGGATAAAGGAAGGGCTCCGGAACTGTGGAGGGGTGGGGGACGGCGTCCTGATTGGGTAGATCCCAGGTATCTAGCCCCAGGACTATTTGGCATACGTCTGGGTGGAGAGAAGGCCACCACGTTCCTGGTACTCGAGTGTCGCTGGTTGACCAGGCCACACTACCCGAAGGGGAGACCACTTCCCAAGTGAGCTTTTGCGGCCCATGGGGGTTAGGGAGGGACGAGCTGGATAGGGTGAGACTAGGGTGAATCATAAGCAATACAAGCAACGGGTTAATGATTACAAACATTAGGCAGCTTTTAGAAGTCTTATCTTGAGGGGGTTTTGAGTGCGCTGGAGTTTCCATCTCGATGGTTCACTTGTGTCCTTGGCCGAACTCTCCTCCTTTTCTGATGCCTTTTTGACGTGAGAGGCGTGAACCCAAGCCGCGATTCCGTCCACTTTCACTGCTGTTGGCGTTGTCAGTAGTACGGTGTAGGGCCCTTTCCAGCGCGGTTCAAGGGTCTTAGTCTGGTGTCTACGAACGTAGACCGAGTCCCCTGTCTGGAAGGGGTGAGGTACTGCAGGGCTCTTGGACTGATACACCACCGCCAGCGGTTTCCACACATGCCTCTGGATCAATTGCAAGGCTCTAAGCCGGGCCTTGGTGCAAGAAGCTGCTCCCGTCCGTATACCAGGTGACTGCGTTTGGCAGGGGTAGATCGGTCAGGTCCTCTCGGGTCCCGTGCACTTCGGCTAACACTTGGTGGCAGTCGTGGTTGACTTGTGATTCAGACCCCGGCTCAGGAAGCAGGGTGGCCGGGTTGAGCGAGGCAGCAGTCCCATACCGGATCCGTTCAGGGTTGAGCAACATGGCCTGGTAGTGGGTGATCCTGGCGTTCGAGAGCCATCTGTCTGGCGGTTGGCGGATGACGGCCTCGATGGCGTGGGGTGCCACTATGGTGAGTGGTTGCCCCAGAGTCAATTTGTCCGAGTCTTTCACCAAGACGGCCACAGCCGCAATCATGCGGAGGCAAGGGGGCCACCCCGAGGCGACACTGTCCAGTTTCTTTGAAAAGCACGCCACAGGTCTTTTCCAGGGCCCCAAATTCTGAGTTAAGACACCCTTTGCCATTCCCCCTTTTTCATCCACATAGAGGGTAAAGGGCTTAGCGGGGTCTGGGAGGCTTAATGCAGGGGCCTCCAAGAGGGCTCGTTTTATCTTGTCAAATGCTAATTGTTGTTCCCTTCCCCAGATGAACGGGGAATTTGTCCTGGTTAAGGGGGTACAGGGACGCTGCCATCTCCGCAAAACCTGGTATCCAGAGGCGGCAGAAGCTGGTGCTGCCCAAGAACTCCCTGAGGTGGCGAGCATTTTTAGGCGGCGGGATGAGCGCTACGGCCTTTTTACGTTCCTCAGTCAGCCACCTCTGACCCCCCTCCAATACGTAACCCAGGTAGGTCACGCGTTGGGTGCAAAGTTGGGCCTTCTTCGCAGAAGCCCTGTATCCTAGTTCTCCCAGCCTATGGAGTAGGGCCTCCGTACCTTTGGTGCAACCCTGCTCAGTCTCTGCAGCTAACAACAGGTCATCCACGTATTGTAGGAGAGTCAACTCTGGGTGGCTTACCCGGAAATCCGCCAAGTCCTGGTGTAGGGCTTCATCAAACAGTGTAGGGGAGTTCTTGAACCCTTGGGGAAGCCTGGTCCACATTAGTTGTCCCGAAAACCCAGTCTCCGGGTCTTTCCACTCGAAGGCAAAGAGAGGTTGACTCTGGGGGCTCAGTCTTAGGCAAAAGAAGGCATCTTTCAAGTCAAGCACAGTATACCAAGTTCGGGTCGGGGGCAGGGTGCTCAGCAGGTTATACGGGTTAGGGACCGTAGGGTGAATGTCCTCAGCCCTACGGTTTACTTCCCGTAGATCTTGCACTGGCCTGTAGTCATTGGAGCCAGGCTTTTTGATTGGTAACAAAGGGGTATTCCAAGGTGACTGACAAGGTCTTAATATGCCCAGTTTTATTAGTCTCTGTATGTGTGGCAGAATTCCAACCTTTGCCTCCGTAGCCATAGGGTATTGGCGGATAGATACGGGAGCGGCCGTGGGCTTCAGGCTTACTATCACCGGGGGCTGTCGGACAGCCAACCCTACTCCTCCCGTCTCCGCCCAAGACTGGGGGAATTTAGTAAGCCATTCAGATGTTACTTGGGACTGAGCTGGTAGGGGGCACTCATGAAGGCGGTGTTCGTCTTCCAGCCGAAGGGTCAACACATGGAGGGGTTGGCCTGCGGGGCTGACTACTGTGGCTCCCCTGTCTTGGGATCTGGGCCCCAACCTTTGAGAGCAGATCCCTTCCCAGCAGGGGGTATGGGCAGTCCGGCACTAGTAAGAACGAATGCGTGACCCGCCCTGTTGCCAGGTTGACCTTATGCTCAGTAGTCCATTTGTACAGTTTTCCTCCGGTGGCCCCCTGGACCCATGATGTCTTAGAACTGGAGGGCCCTCAGCTGTGGTAAGAACAGAATGCTGGGCTCCAGTGTCGACCAGAAAGGTGACTGGTCGGCCTCCCACTTTCAGGGTTACCCGGGGCTCAGGGGGAGGCTCCTGGCCCTATTTGTCGTCTTCCAATGAAAGGACCGGAGCGGTTCTCTGCTGGGGTCTTGGCCGTCCCTTGTTCGGACAGTCCCTGGCCCAATGTCCTCTTTCTTTACAATAGGCGCACTGGTCTCGTTCCACTCTCGGTCTCCGTTTTTCTCCCTGGTCCCTGTCTTGCCTGCCCTTGTCTCGTCCTGTTTTTGACCCTGCAACTATGGTGGCCAGGACCTTTACTAATTGTTTATCCCTTTTCCTATCTCTTTGATCCTGTTCCCTACGTACTCTTTCTTCCCTTTCTTCTTTAGTTTCTCTTTTGTTATAAATCTTTTCTGCCTCCTTCACCAAGTCGGGGAGTGTATATCCCTGCAGGCCTTCCAACCTTTGTAATCTTGTGCGGATGTCCGGGGCCGATTGTCCAATGAAAGACATGATTACGTCGGCCTGCCGGTCAGGGGCCTGTGGGTCAAAGGGAGTATACATTCTGTATCCTTCCATTAACCTTTCTAAAAATCCTGCCGGAGTTTCCTCACTACCCTGCACAATCGCACGTACCTTGGCCAAATTGGTGGGGCGTCTTCCTGCCCCCCGGAGACCTGTCAGGAGAACCTGGCGATAGAGACGGAGTCGCTCCCTACCCGCTGCCGTATTGAAGTCCCAATTTGGTCGAGTCAGCGGGAACACCTCATCAATCTCGTTAGGTAGCTGAGTGGGACGGCCGTCATCCCCCAGCACATTTTTGCGGGCTTCTGTGAAAACCCGCTGCCGCTCTTCCGTGGTCAGGAGGGCTTGTAAGAGCTGCTGACAGTCATCCCAAGTGGGTTGGAGGGTTAACAGAATCGACTCAATCAGACCTGTGAGGGCCTGAGGGTCCTGAGAAAATGGGGGGTTGTGGGTTTTCCAGTTGTAGAGATCTGACGCGGAGAATGGCCAATACTGAAACTCCCCCCACACCGAACGCAATGGGAATGCCTGGGATGCCCAATAATCCCCCCCTTCCCTTTGCTCTCGGCGAAGGCGCAGGTGAGTATTTGGCGGTGATGGGTCTCGTAGGGAAGTGGGTTGTGGTCCCCTTGATTCTTGGACCGTTGAGTCCGGGGACGGGGCAGAGGAAGGCACCTCCCTCAATGCTGGATGGTTGTATGGCAGTGGGGGATCCAAAAGGAGGAGGTCCTCCTGTCCACCCGAAAGGACGGGTGGACATGTTGTTTTCGGTGGTTGAAGTTCCTTTAGGGGATAGAGATCGGAGGTTGGCGGGGGACCTTGCACTGGGGTTCCTGCTGGAGCGGGGATCAGGGGAGTTGAGGAGGGAAGCGGGGGAGGCCTGGGACCCCCACCAACTTCCTCCTTCTCTTTCTGCTGACGGTCTTTGATGTCTCCATGAGCGAGGAAAGGTTTAACCCAAAGCGGGGGCTTCCGGGTCAAGTCTTCCCACACCGTGATATATGGCACTTGGTCTGGATGTCCCCCTCCACCCTTACGGCAGACTTGGTCTTTAACCTGCAAAATTAAGTCAAGGTTAAAGGTTCCGTCCTTCGGCCACCCGACACCGAAGGTGGGCCACTCGGAGGTGCAAAGCGCCACCCACTCCTTTTTGCGGACTTCCATCAACAACCTGCGGGCGATCTCTCAAACCTCCTTCCAGTGTCCTAGAGTCAGGCTCAAAGGTGTTGTTAATTGTTGCCCCAGGACGACAGATGGGGGAGACAGTAAGAAATAAAGAACGACAAAAACAGCGACACACAGAACACAAATCACAAGCTGCGCGGCAACAGACCGAGACAAAACCGAAACTAAAATTTCAGATGGGAGCGGCCGTCTGGCCAGACTCTCCCCTGGAAGAAGGGAAATGCTCTCTTTCCCCTCTTCCCAGACCACCACTGGAGCGTCCTCCAGGGTGGGACCAGGGGTCTCAGGACATGTCTGTCTCCCCCACTGGTCCAATACTGAGCCTGCACAGGCGCCCCAGGAGGGATCCCACGTCTCCCTGGCAGACAAGGACAAACAGTACAAACCACAATTACAATAATATACAAGTAAGCAAACTTACCTCCGTCAGGCCGATGGAGTGTGGGAGTCTGGGGTCTCCCAATTCCCAGACGAGCCCCCAAATGAAGGACCCCAAAAGTGGTGCCCTTTTGTGACGACCCCAGAAACACAGACTCCAGACCAGGCGATGCAAAAAGCAAGAGGCAGTTTTATTTCATTTGCGCAAATGGGCCCTCTGCTGCCACAAGCAGTGAGAAAGAGAGGAGTCCCGAGCCCCGATTACACGCAGTATTTAAAGCGAAAAGCCACACAATTATCATAGATTAACATTCTACTTGGTGTAAATAGCTCATTGGATAATTCTCAGCAATTGACCTAATATGGCAGTTTGGGAGCGGGTAGGGAAGTATTGTCAGTGGAAAAGTACTAGGTCGAAAGGGTTTGTTAAGCTTGAGCAAGCACAGGGGAGGGGGCTTATGTACATAACAGGATGTTCTGTCGCCCGTATCTCTGAGTAGTATCTAACTGCTTTCTCTGTGAACCAGTTTACTCCCCCATTTCCCATGACTGTTTCTGGAACTGTTTGTCTCAGTTCCTGTTTTTCTATTTCATCAAGGCCACTTTTATCCCTTCATTAGTATGCGGTCAAAGTTTAATATTTTTCCAAATCCCCCAAAGATCTCTTCGTCACAGTTTCTTACCTTTGATGGAGGGTTTGGCAATGGAGCTGGAGGTTCTGGAAGCCTGAGGAAGGTAAAAATAAGAATTGCAGTCATGGTTTTTTAGAGACAAGCAAACAGAAAGACCAGGCCAACTCAAGATTTAGTAAGTCCCACTTTTCATTCTAAAACTGTCCCTCCATACATGTTACTGCTCAATCACTTCAGTGTGAAGAACACAATTTTTCTACATGAACCAATCTTCATTTCATAACTTAACTCTTTGTATCAGAATTTTCTGAAACTAAAAAATAAAATTAGAACCCACTGTTGAAATGGAATCAGTTTTCTTTGGCTTGGGTAAATTTGCATGTTGGCACTGGAGTACATTTTCTTCATAAATAAAGATGTTAGCCTATATTTAAAAGTGAAAACTGTTTTAGCAGTTGACAAAAAGCTACACTTCATCTTTTCTTCCGTTAAGAGAACTTTAGGGGCCGGCGCTGTGGTATAGCAGGTGGCTAAGGTGCCAGCATCTCATATGGGCACTAGTTCAAATCCCAGCTGCTCTACTTCCATCCAGCTTCCTGCTAATGTGCCTGGAAAACCAGCAGAAGATGGCCCACCTGCTTGGGTCCTGCCCCGTGTGCGAGACCTGGAAAAAGTTCCAGGTTCTGGCTTCAGAATGGCCCAGCTCAAGCCATTGCAGCCATTTGGGGAGTGCACCAGCTAATGGAACATCTTGCTTTCAGTCTCTGACTCTGTCTCTCTCTGTAACTCTGCCTTTCAAATAAATAAATAAATCTTTAAAAGAGAGAGAGAGAGAGAGAGATTTAATTGGCATATCTTTCTCCCAAAATCTTTAATCAAAACTTGAAAATTTTCAGTGGAAAGAAAAGAATCTCAACAAAGAACAGAATGTAAAGACAGTGTCTAATTGCATAAGCAGTAAGAAATCCAGGGAATGGGGCCAGCATTGTGGGCCAAAGGGGTAAGCCATGGCCTATGATATCAGCATCCCCTGTGAGCACCTGTTCACATTGGCTGCTCCACTTCTGATCCAGCTCCCTGCTAATGTACCTGGGAAAGCAGTGGAAGATGGCCCAAGTACTTGGGACCCTGCCACTCATGTGGGAGACCCAGATGGAGTTGCAGGTGCTTGGCTTTGGCCTGGCCCAACCCTGGCCATTGTAGCCATGTGGGGAATGAAACAGAAAAATGAAAGATGGATCTCTTACTTTCTCTCTCTCTCTCTCTCTCCCCCGACCTCCCTCCTTTTCTCTGTAACTCTGCCTTTCAAGTAAATAAAATAAATATTAAAAAATAAAAGAAACCCAGGGAAATATTAAGCAGAAAGGTATGAATATTAATGTAGAGTAGGTTTTCAACACTACTATAAAAACCAGCTACTTCTGCTTTTTACACTGTATCCACAAAAATGCATAAGAAATAGACACTGATCAAAAAAAAAAAAAAAAAGGCAAGCAGGATCTAAGGAAGTTGCTAAAAACTGCAACTATATTATTGGTCAGAGGAAGACAAGACTCTAATTGAGATTTTAATAAAAGTTACACATCATCACACACATAAAATCCTAAAAACTGCTAAACTCTAGAAAATAAACGCTTCAATAAAAGTAAAATATTGGGGCTGGCATTGTGGGGTGATGGGTAAAGCCACCACCTGCAACACCAGCATCCCAGCTGATTCAAGTTCCAGCTGCTCCACTTCCAATGCAGCTCCCTGCTAACGGCCTGGGAAAAACAGTGGAAGATGACTCAAGTGATTGAGTCCCTGCCACCGTAGTGGAAGACCTGGAAGAAACCCCTGGCTCCTGGCTTTCGCCTGGTCCAGTCCTTGCCATTGTAGCCAGCTGGGGAGTGAACCAGCAAATGGAAGATTTCTTCTCTTTGCATTTCTCCTCCCCTCAAACTCTTTAAAATAAATCAATCAATCTTTAAAAAATAAAGTAAAATAAAGTGTTTGTATTATATTTAAGATCTTTATAAAGGAAGAGATACACAAGAAGTCATACTTAAAACTCTTCTTCCATCCCTCAAGGACACAGGGTTTCACTTTATCTGATAATATTAAGAATGGTACAAAGCAGGGCCAGCGCTGTGGTGCAGTGGGTTAACGCCCTGGCCTGAAGTGCCGGCATCCCATATGGGCACCGTTTCTAGTCCTGGCTGCTCCTCTTCTGATCCAGCTCTCTGCTATAGCCTGGGATAGCAGCAGAAGATGGCCCAAGTCCTTGGGCCCTTGCACCCATGTGGGAGACCCGGAAGAAGCTCCTGGCTACTGGCTGTGGATTGGCACAGCTCCAGCTGTTGCGGCCATTTCGGGAGTGAACCGGCGGATGGAAAACCTCTCTCTCTGTCTCTACCTCTCTCTATAACTCTGTCTTTCAAATAAATAAAATAAATCTTTTAAAAAAAGATACAAAGCCTGAATCATAATTTTCATACACATTCTACAGACTATCTACTTGCCTTCCAACCTTTCTTTTTCTTAAAATTATCCCAAAGAATCAAGCTAAGTAAGTCTCATTGCAGGTAAAATTTTAAGCTTATCTTCTAAAATTACACAAAGCAATAATCTCAGTCCCAAAACTCATTGCTTCCTGCAATTGGCTTCCACCAAGTCAACTCATTCCAATCAATACTCATGAAAAAAATCACCTCCAAACCAGAGTGGAGTACACCAACTAAGTCAGGAATGACCTGTTATCACAAACAGGGACAGGATAAGCCATGCAGAAACCCCACTGCTGAAGAAATCAAGACGTACAAAGGCACTGAATGAATAGCACTTACTTCAAGTATTTAGCTAAGTCATCACTTAATTCTTTAGGGATGTAATCAGATACCAGACCATGGGCATAACGAAGATAATCCTCTGAAAGAAACAGAATGGAGAGTGGAAAAAAAAAAAATGAGTAATGATGATGGTGGTTTCACAGTCAAATTGACCTGAGTTCAAACTCCGGCTCTGTGTGTGGCATTAAGGAATTCACTGAAGCTCTAGCCTCTGTCTCTGTATTTGTAAAATGAGCATAAGAATACCTATCTTTTAGAGGAGCAGGGTGACAGGATTGGTAAGGAAATATCAGGATGAAGTCAAAGATATGACAAGAAGATGTAACCACAGTAGATACCCACTAAATGAGAGTAATCACAGAAACCCATGTGCTCATCCTTGAGGTCCCTGCAAATAACGTTCAAAATTCACTGTAGCAACAGGAAATACTCATGTGGTTTGTAAAACTATTGTGGTCTGAGTGAGCTTCAATACAGAATAAATGAGTATGATCATTTAAGAGAAATAAGGTATTACATAGTAATGTCTCTACTTGGCTTTATAAGAATCCTGAACATTATATAGATTCTCCCAAACGAACAACAACAACAAAACTGAGCAGAATGCATAATCATCAATTCTAAAGCATCTACAGTCTCAGTATTTAATGCAGCCGGGAGGGGCTGGCATTGTGGCATGGCAGGTAAAACCGCCACCTGTGATGCCAGTATTCTATATGGCCATCAGTTCGAGTCCTGGTTGCTCCACATCCGCTCCAGCTCCTTGCTAAAGGCCTGGGAAAAGCAGTGGAAGATGGACCAAGTGTCTGGGCCCCTGCCACCAATATGGGAGATTCAGATGAAGCTCCTGGCCCAGTACAGGCCATTGTGGCCACCTGGGGCGTGAACCAGTGGATGGAAGACCTCTGTACATCTCTGCCTCTCTGTAACTCTGCCTTTCAAATAAATCAATGTTTAAAAAAAATAAAATAAAACGCAGCTCTGACACCAACTAAAGGCAATTTTGACCAAAACAAACTTTTCTTTTAATTCCACTTCCTATGAACTTCTTGAAGTTCCATCGCAGGTAGAACATGGGGAAAGCACTGGTCTCAGAGCCACAGGCCTTGCTGACCAGCCAGGGTAAGCGATCTTCCTCTTGGAAAATGAAAAACCACACTTCTCCATTTTTAAAATGAGTCTGTCCACATAACTGCCAACATCCCTTTCCTGCTTTAAAAACAGAATCTCTGGTTGTATTGACCCATTTATCCCTCCCTCGCTCCCTCGCCCTAACGTGACTCAGCCCTCCTCTTCCCGTGTTACAGCCAACTAAAGGCAAGGACGGCTGAGAATCTCTGAGCGGCAAGGTGCCCTTCCCCACTCCCTGACTGGCAGTAGCCAGTTCTGCGCATGTGTGAAGTGTTTCACCTTAGATCGCGGCCAACCAGACACTGCCTACACGCCTGTCAATCACAAATAGGCCACTGTTGGTCATTTTCACTTTTTTAATGCCTACAACCAGATATTACAGGGTTGTTTATCCACAACAAGGGGACACTGAAGTGGAGTTTAAAATCAGGATAATTTCTGTCCCACAATTTGTGGGTCCTAAGTGCCGTATATAACTTTTTAAAAAAACTATACATATAAAAAATATTTAATAGAATACTATCCTGGAAAAGCAAAACAATGTCCCTTAATAAACTAAAAGAAAAAAACTGGCAAGTGACTTCATTGACTAAAATCAAACACTGAGAGTTAGCTTAGGAAATGCGCTCCTTGGGAATAAGATGCACAGAGCTGCAGCCATTGGAACAGCACAAGATGGAGAGGGGAGTGGGCCGCAGAGTCAAAACAGGCTCCGCCGGTCGCTCGCTCGGCTTTGTCATTTACTGGTGTGTCACTTGGGATAGAACCTTGACTCAGGAGACTCGGTGGGAGGCTCCAATGAGATAATGTCTGGACACTGGCAACTTAGCAGAGGGCCTGTGCCTAACACATTCTCCACAAACAGCCAGGGCTGTTGGAGTTTGATCACTATTAGTGTGAAATAACCACCTGCTGAAGGAGTGAGTCAACTGGCAGTGACACAGTGATCCATGGTGGAATTAGCTTCTGATTCTGCACTAACATGCCCATTTTCCCAAGATCTGTGAGTACATGGGCAAGAATGTGAAACATCTGTGACAAAGATTTTTTAAATCCCAAGCATTCACACGCAATCAACTTAACTCTAGATAAGAATCAATGCCGGCCCGTGCCCCAGCTCACTAGGCTAATCCTCCGCCTTGTGGCGCTGGCACACCGGGTTCTAGTCCCAGTCGGGGGGCCGGATCCTGTCCCGGTTGCCCCTCTTCCAGGCCAGCTCTCTGCTGTGGCCCGGGAGTGCAGTGGAGGATGGCCCAAGTACTCGGGCCCTGCACCCCATGGGAGACCAGGATAAGTACCTGGCTCCTGCCTTCAGATCAGCGTGGTGCACCAGCCACGGCGGCCATTGGAGGGTGAACCAACGGCAAAGGAAGACCTTTCTCTCTGTCTCTCTCTCTCTCTCACTGTCCACTCTGCCTGTCAAAAAAAAAAAAAAAAAAAAAGAATCAATGCGATGAAATGATTTACTTACCTTCGTTGTCACTGGCAACCTGGTCTCCAGAGAAAAATGCAGTTGATTGTACCCGGTTACCAACATTCACGTTATTGGTTTTTAATGCAGCCTTAGTTTGATTAACCTGTTAAGTAACCAATTGGGGAAAATCATGGTATAGGTTATAAAAAAAAAAATCCAAAACTTGAAGCTTTCTGAATCCTGACATGATATTCCAAAATGGAAAATTCCACCCCTGGTGTCATGTAACAAGTCAGAGTCCACAGAAAGATACATTCAAAAATGTATAAAATAACCTTGAGGTTATGTTTATAAGGTGCATATGAAACAGAAGGGAATCTGATATCTAGACTCGGGTCCCATCCCCAGGATCTCATTATGTATATTATAACATTTCAAAATCTGAAAAAATCCCAAATCCCAAACACTCCCCTCCCAAGCGTTTTGGGGAAGGCAGGTTCAACCTGTATTTTCAACTTAACTTTCAAAATCCAGGACTTTCCCAATGGCCCTCAATCTGTTTCTTTTTGAGAACCTACACTGTCTTCACTAGATACCAGAAGAGGAGAGGGGGCTGCATGTTTGGAGAGGCTGAGCAGCAATGACATTTCTGGATGATGTCAACACGTGAATTTCTGAGGCTTGCGTGGCCTCTGAGTCGGGTTGCTTGCTTAGGTTTGTTCTGTGATCACAGAACACTTAGTGATCCTCTCTTTCAGAAAAGGGCGTGAATGGTACTTCAAAATGCTCGTGGAGAAATGTAATGAAAGGATAAATTAACTTCAGAGCAGAAACTTTTGGAATCCATGTATACAGGGGTTCTTCAAAAAGTTCATGGAAAATGTGTGTTATGGAAAACCTATGCATGGCCAGCGCCATGGCTCACTAGGCTAATCCTCCACCTGCAGCGCCGGTACTCCGGGTTCTAGTCCTGGTTGGGGTGCTGGATTCTGTCCCGGTTGCTCCTCTTCCAGTCCAGCTCTCTGCTGTGGCCCAGGAAGGCAGTGGAGGATGGCCCAAGTGCTTGGGCCCTGCACCCGTATGGGAGACCAGAAGGAAGCACCTGGCTCCTGGCTTCGGATCAGTGCAGCGCCGGCTATAGCGGCCATTTGGGGGGTGAACCAATGGAAGGAAGACCTTTCTCTCTGTCTCTCTCTCTCACTGTCTAACTCTGCCTGTCAAAAAAAAAAAAAAAAAAGAAGAAGAAGAAGAAGAAAAAAAAAAACCTATGCATGATTTAAAAAAAATATTTGCACCAAAATGGGCTTACATTTTAAGTTCACTGTTCCAAGAACTTTGTAGAGTAACCTCACAGTATTTGCCTCTAAGGATTGTTGTGAGGATTTAATGAATTACAATCTATCAAGCCCTTTGAATAAAACCTGGCACAAAGTTTATATGCAGTAATTGTTTGAACAAAATAGATAATAAATATATATACTTCTCACTTCCTAGGAAACATGATAAGTATAAATTTCCCTCTGCTAATCATGTCATTTCATTTGCTAAGAGCAAAAATCCAAGGGCCAAGATTTTGCTCACCATTTACCCTCGTTCTTCACATACACAGACTACTACCACCGCAGATGTGAAAAGGACATGAAAAGTCAAACACGATGGCACCTTTTAAGTCTTTTCACTACTCTGTGCCTGAGCAGCCCAACTAATTTCAAAGGCTCCATTTTCAGGTTCCCAGGCTCCCCATGTGGCTGGTAAAATGAAATGACAAACAAATACGGTTTTCACATTTTCGATAGAAGAGAATCTCAGGAAACTTGTATAATATAAGGACCGGTGCACACCGATCTCATAAAAAGCTTGTTATTAATAGAGTTCGTTTAGTGGGATTTCTTAATCAATGGGAAAGTCTCTGATATTCTTAGACCAGGAGCTTACAACGTTGTGTTTCTTTTCAAACTATGAGCAATAGTAAGAAATATTTGGGGTCTTGAGTAAGTTTGTGGAAAATATGTATTACAAGGAAAGAATGTACAGATTGTACAATATTTTTATCATTTAATCCCACTTTTCACAGACTTTTTATATATTAAGTTATGCTTCACGGAGCCATACTGACTACTTGTCCTTCTTCTGTGCCATGTTTGAGTACATTCTGTCCTATGCTAATCCATTTCATTCCAAGAGAAATACTGGTTGCGACCTAGCACGTCAACTGCAGAAACACTGTTCCAGATCTAATACCAAGTTAAAATGCTTCGTTTCACTAAGACACAGTGACGGCCTCCCTGGAGGATGACCCCTCTTCAGCACGTGGACACTGAGAGCGGGACATGGCTCCCCTAAGCCCAAACGTCGTCTGCCCCTGATGCCCGGTGGGCTGTGCGTGAGACACGTCACCCGAGGGGACACGGGCAGGACTGTCGGCAGCAAACAGCAAAAGGCCTGACATCGTCTGGCTCGGGAGACTCAACTCTATACCACCAAATAGCAAGAAACAAGAATTCTTTTTTATTCAGTGATAGGCTCGGGGAGATGGAGGGTGCAGGTCAAAAGCCATCCTTAAGCTAAGTCCAGACACACCGCTGGGGAGGGCAGAAAGCTGATGGCTGGCTTCTCCTTAGCCCAGGCTGTCACTGCGCTTTCCTCTTTCTGCGGGATGATGTCTGGATTCAGACTTACTGCCCTCTCCAAAAATCTTTAAGGAGCATGAAGCTTTTTCTTTTACTAAAAGGCACTACAGTGGTACCGTACCTTTTTTTCCAGCCACTTTAATGTCTTCTCTTTGCTATACTTATAATATTTCTTGTTGTCAATTTCTGGATGAAATTAAAAGGAAAAAAAAAGACTCAGTAAGCAGGTTAAACAAAAAACAAACTTCTAAGGTTATATCATATAAAAGTTCACAATTTAAGAACATTTCATAATAGTTTATGTTCTTGAAAAACTCAATGTATACGGGGTTGGCGCTGTCACGCAGTGAGGTAAAGCCCGGGTCTACAAGCGCCAGCATTCCATATGGGCACCAGTTTGAGTCCTGGCTGCTCTACTCCTGATCCAGCTCTCTGCTATGTCCTGGGAAAGCAGTAGAAGACGGCCCAAGTCCTGGGGCCCCTGCACCCACGTGGGAGACCAGGAAGAAGCTCCTGGCTCCTGGGTCCTGGCTCCTGGCTCTGGATTAGCACAGCTCGGGATGTTGTGGCCATCTGGGGAGTGAACTAGCAGATGGAAGACTTCTGTCTCTCTCACTGCCTCTGCCTCTCTGTGACTCTGCCTTTTAAATAAATAAATAAATCTTAAAAAATAAAAGAAACTTCAATGTATAAAACTCAAGAGACCTCTGGAATCATCCAACCACTAACTGAGTAGGAATTTAAGAAAACCCTCAACGTACACAAAGATCCATAGAAAAAAGTAGTTCTCCAAATTCATCAAACAGACATGCTAAGCGACTTCCATTTCTCTAATTTTAAATTTACCTCAATATTTTCAGTGAAAGAATTCCTTGCTAAAATAAAATCAGAAATCAAAAACTGAAACAACACTGGGGCCTATGATATTCACTGCACACATCGGGGTGAGGGGTGGGGTTCCTGTTGACTGTTCCGTACTGTCCCCGTGGGGCTAATGGAGCATAAAAGAAAAGATAGATCTGCCTTTAAATGTAGTACCAACAGAACCGCAGCCATTTCAGGGGAGTTCGGATTTATGGCAGGCTCAACCTGGCCCTTACTGGGGATAAAGTCTCACCTGTGATAAGTAACACTTCCCCCCGCACAACCCACTCAGCTTTACTCCCTGGGTCCTGAAGTCACGGTGTCCTCTGTCACACTTGCCATCGCCAGGTCTCCTCTCTGTGCAAGCAGCAGGGTGGCACTTCCACCCCAGCTGCTCCCTCCACGCAGGAGTTTCTTTTTTTGAAACTTTACTTCAAGAGAAAGAAAGCTCTCTTCTGCTTGGTCAGTCCCCAAATGCCCATAATAGCCAGAGGGCGGAAGCCAGGAGGCAGAAACTCAACCCTGGCCTCCCAGCTGGGTGGTGGGGACCATCACCTGCTGCCTCTCGGTGGGCTGCATTAGGGGGAGGCTGGAACGGAGAACTGAGCAGGGACTCTGAACGCAGGTACTCAAGAGGTGGCTTACCCACTGCCCCCCAAATGCCCGCCCAAGGGACCCGAACAGTTCATTTACATATTCACTGAGTACAGATTCAGCAGGCTGCTAGTCCACTGCCTTGGACTCCTGGTGATCTCACACTCCCAGTCCTCTCTGGCTGTCCAGTGGGACTGAAACTGAGCCCCTGCAGCGTGGATGCTCCCTTAGCCAGGCCCCAGTCGATCCACGGCTTGCCGCTCCTGTGCCCACCCCGGCTGCAAGTCAGCTCCTTTTAAAGATTAACTCACTCCATTAAGGGAGTTTCGGGGTGAGGGTGGCCGGATTCAACTCCCACCTCCTCCTTCTCCCACCACCTGGTGTTGGGCCCAGGCTTCCACAACAGGAACACTGGAACAAGGCTGGGATCGCCTTTGTGGGCTCGGGGCTAGGACTGCCAGCAGTTTCCCAATGCAGGACATTAGCGTGCACAGCAGTTACCGAGCCACCATCCCAGGACCTTGGAAAAGACCTCTGGGTTAAGACTTATGACCCCCACAGCAGGGCAGGCCCCCAGACGTCTGATCTGTCTGGCTTGAGCCAGACGCTGCTATTACTCTGTGTAAGCTCTGGTAAGCACTCACTCCACCCCTGCACCCATCACACAGACAGGGCCAGGACCCTGCTCTCCCACTCCCTTAATCCTCACCCCAGTCTACGTGCTGATTTGTGTGACTCCAGCAGCTGAGGGGCTGACGCCTGAGAGCTCTGTAGGGCTGCCCAGCAGGGTGGAAAGTTGATGAGGGAGGCCCAGATCTGCAGGGTGGGCAGGAGGCTGTGGGCCAGGAATGCTGGCGAGGCCCCCTCGGCAGCAGGAGCTCCACTATGATGACTGGAGACCCTGCAGCCTTGCGCACACTCACCACCTGTGAGTGCTGAGGGCACGCAGGGGTGGGAATGGAAAGTGCTTATCCAGTGCTTGCACTATGTTAAATGGTCTGCAAGGGAGAGGAGCTGGGAGGCCCCCAGTCATCTCTGCTCTTCCTCCCTGTTTTAGGCTGTGGTCATCAACATGGTGGGCAAGATGGGACAGGGTGGAGTGGGACACAGCTGGAATAACGAGGGACAGCTAGCTGCACACAGCCTGCTGTCAGAGGTGTGAGAATTTCCTCTCTCCAGCCACCTGGGCAGACAGCCCACCCGAGAAGTAAGGCCATTAAGACTGGACTCAATTTCTCCAGAAGCAATGTCCCACCCTCTGCACAAATCAGGGGAACTTTAAAAGCCCAAAGCAATCATTAAAAAAGATGTATGCTGTGGAATGGCTAATTAGAAGTTCCACTCATTGTCCGAGGCAGAGAATCTATAAAAACCTCAGTGTGCAAGTCTCTCCTAAGAAATCCCGCCCTGAGCCTATGGCTCACTTCTCTCTTGCCTGTACCCACAAGTGCTCTGCAAGGATGTGCACAATCCACTGCAGTGTTGCTTCCTGAGCGCCTTGGGCAGGCCGCCCCTAACCCTCTTGAACAAGATCTCTCACAGAGGCGGGGAGCACAGACGGAGCCCATGCACAGCGCAGCACGCACTGGCACCTTGGGAAATCTCACTCCTGAAGCCTTTCTCTGAGGGCTACGTTGAGCGTGCAATGAGACAATCCAGACCCAGCCTATAGCACAACTCCAGTCACACAGCCAGCACTTAACATTAAATAAGAAAAAACGATGAAAATCGCAATTTGTAACAGGTCCCCCTCAGAAATGAATGTTTATTCAGGCCTGTGCTGAGTTCTCTGCGTACATTTTCTCACTGAATGGACCTCAAGTGAAAACCATTAGTTGTGCCCGTCTTAGGTTCGAGGGATTTTAAGGAAATTGTCCAAAGTCACAGGGCAGTCCAACAGGAGCACTGGGATTCCCGCCTGAGCTGACTCAAAGCTGTGGGTGTAAGGTTCATTTTACTAACATCAGTGAGGCCTACACCTTCCTCAATATTCCCATCACCCCCATTTTCGTGCAAAACAACCAATCCAGCATGACACACACAAAGCTGCTTTCTTTCTGTTTCTAAAGCTCTGATGATTTCTCTAACTCTTCCCAGCTATGCAGCTCCCTCCTTCAAGGCCAACGGTACCTTCCTCTTAATGACCTCATTCAAAAAAGACTAAATAAACCCAAGTGAGAGCCCTACAAAGCTCTGAGCTGAGGTTCAGTGAGTCTAAGATTAAACTGTGTTTTCCTCCCAAGCCATCCTCTGGGTTAGCCAGGCCTGAATCCTGAGAAGGTACTCCTGCTTTGCCTCATGCAGGCCATTACCCCATCCTATGGGAGGTGGGAAGTGAGGAGTGAAAAGAACCTGACATTTTCTTGGTTTGGGGCGTGGGGGAGAGGGGGTAGTGGTGGAGGTAAGAAGAAAATAAAACACTGTTAGGAATCAGAAATCAGGAGGCCTAGCTTCTAGGGCTACATCATTTTCCAAAGTTCAGCTTCATTTGCATACCATGTTCATATGCTACTATGTTCATGTTAAGCGCACAATTTGAGGAATTTGGAGAAATGTATGCAGGCATATGACCATCACCTCCACAAGTTCCTGTGAACCCTCACATAGCCAATCTCCCACCCCTACCCAGACCTCAGATAATCCCTGAGATACCATCACCAATTTAGTTCTTGCTTTATTCTGGAACCCCACAGGAATGGAATCATACAGGTGCACTCTTTTCTGTGCCTATCTTGTTTTACTCAACAAAATTCCTGTGAGACTCATCCATTTCATTGCAGCTAACAATAGTTCCCTCCTTTGATTGTGAAGCAGGATTCTCCATATAGATACATACATTTGTTTACTCAACCACCTACTAAAAAATTTTAGGTTGTTTCCGGAATGGGGCTTATTTTTAAAACTTGCTACTATAAAAACAACAACAACAACAACAAAAAACAACAACCAGAAAGGGTGCTTTGAGTGTTCTTGCCCAGGTCTTTGCATGGATGTGTTTTCCTAAGTCTTGAGTAAATACCTAGGAGTGGAGCGGCTGAGTGGTAAGAAAGTGTCACATAGTTGTACTATTTCATGGTTCCACCAGTCGGATAAATGAGTTCCAGTTCTCCCACAAATCCTAACCTTTTTCTTAATGATGTCTTTTAGAAACTGAAGATATTAATTTGAATGAAATGCAATTTATAATCCATGGTTAGTGGTCTTTGTGTCCTAAGAAATGTTTGTCTACACCCAAGGTCACAAAGACTTTATGTTTTCCTCTAGAAGTCCAGTGGTTTCCAAGTGATCAATTTTGAGCTAATTTTTCTGTGAACGGGAGATGAGGATCAATGTTCATTATTTTTTCATAGGGCTATCTAATTCTTGAATCAAGATTTGTTGAAAAGATTATCCTCTATCCCACTGAATTATCTTGACACCTTAAAAAAATCAGTTAAACTTATGTGTGAATTCATCTCCAGATTCTCTTTTCTGTTCCATTTATTTATATATTTATCCTTATACGATACCATATTTTCTTCATTATTGCAGCTTTATAGTAGTTCCTTAAATCACACTTTGTATAAATTCTCTAAATTTGTTTTTTGAAAGTGTTTTGGTTATATTATAGGGCCTTTAGATGGTCATAAACATTCTATGCCAGTAAGTTTCTACCAAAAAATAAATTAAAAAGCTTCTTAAGCATTACATTGATCCTATAGGGCAATTGGAGAAAATAAACATCTTAA